AAAAACAAACAAACAGAACATCTTGAGTATAAAAAAAGAGTAAGAAAGAAAATAAAAATAAAAAAGAGTTATTCAGTAAGTGCTAAGAAACAAAGAGATCTCAACTTACATTTATTCTTACTATACTCAATGAACTACATTTTGTGTTTAGAATATATGCCCATTCGTAACCTTATCATTGAAGCCGTTTTCAGTATTTTTAGAGGTGCAGTAACGACAGGACATCCTTCTGTAATTCCGAAGTTATCTAATATTACWGTGATGTCATGAGCATCTTTGCTGACTTTGTCATTATTTACAGGGCCTTGCAACGTGGGCGTACAATGCACCCTAGATCACGAGGCCATCTATACAACATAGCTATATATATGCTGACGGACTGTGTTGTTTTTAGGTACCAGGTCAACGCCTTGTGTATAAGTTTGGACAACTCCCCTATGAATACAAGCCAAGAGGAAAAAGTCCACCAAAGATAGAGATTGAACAAGGACCAGTTTCAGCATCAGTCACCCAACACAAACAAGAGTCACAAGCCTTCAGGCCCCTAACGTCACTAACACCACCCCCGGAGATTGGTTTCCAAYTCCCTAGTCTGATACCGAGGAATTTTCCACCAGTGTGTAGCTGTTATGTTGATTATCGCATTGGAACGGCATGTCCTATGAAAACATTCCCAGCTAGTCCAATCATCTTCCCTCACAGTTGTGGATATGCATTTAGTATGCTCAATAACGCACCGCCCAGTCCACCACGAGCAATACCTGTACCAGTTATAACAAGCACTCACTCTTGATCATGCGCAGAAACTCCTAGGTTTTTTTATTCATAGAAACATTTTTTCATAACATCATTGAACGTTTGGCACCAGATATTTCCCGACTTCAGTTAAGTGCCCCAAACAACATCCGACTACAGTGGAATCAGATATTTATCAAACATTATGTAACTATTTTAAGGTGGCACCAGACATTTGACTATTGTTAAAGTGGCTCCAAGCATCATCATTTCCAAAACATTTATCAATTTATACTCGTACGTTTCTCATCTCTACCTCACCTATATTCGTTCATGAAAAGCTAGTTAAAAAGAAACATGCATTCACCATTTATCAGAGTTTATTGCATATACACGATTTGTGCTTAGAGCGGATTTCGTATGAGTGGGAAACGGACGGTA